AAAGATTTAAAAGTTGGCTTCGACTTCCAGCTCTACCTTGGGCAAATCACCGAAACTCAGTTTCCTCTTTGCAAAATGGAGATAATAATGTTCATTCTGTTTTCTTAAAAGGTGGAAGAGGGACCAAATCGGTGATAACAGACATAAAAATGGTTTGAAAAAAAATGTTTATGTATCAAGCAATTTAAGATGTATTGTTATTGATCAGTCGCTCAGTCCTGTCTGACTCTCTGCAGCCTCATGGACTGCACCATACCAGGCTTCCCTGTCCTTCACCATCTCCCAGAGTTTGCTCAAACTCATGTCCATTGAGTAGGTGATGTCATCCAACCATCTCACCCTCTGACGTCCCCATCTCCTCCTGCCCTCAATCTTTGCGGTACTACCAGGCACTCTCCTCAAAATACAGAAATGTGAGCAGTCTGAAAGGTCCATAACACCCTTTTCCCCTCAAGCTATTTCCATGGAGCTTCCCCTTTCAACTTTTCAGGTAGACAAAGTGACCTGGGAATTGTCTGATGTCTGCAGAATTCCATCCTAATCAATCTTGTTCAACAAGCTCCTGTCCATCCATTATACAGTTCCTTTCAACAAGCCAATGTGACACTTCATTTCTGTTCTTTGTACTTCACAAACCTCATTTGCTTAAAAAGATCTCTAAATACTAGCTGGCAGGAGAAAGTAATCCCCAGGTAGACATTTCAAGGAATAAACAAAATATCTAACATTTCAAGCTGAAACTTGATTCAGATACTTTTCTTATAATCACCAAGTAAACACTATGTGAAAAAACAGGACTGACTACACATTCTTAATTAGAGAGTAAGCTTTCATTTTACAGAGAGAAAACTCAGATTATTCTCTCTGAATAGCCAGCTTCCCTAAGTGAGACTAAACAGAATTCAATGAAAAAAAAAAAAATTCCTTACACAAGTTTTCAGGCAAACACCTGCAGAATAAATAATGAAGACCACCTTTAGTTAATGAGTAGAAATTTTCCATAACAGGTAAGCCCATCCTCCACATTTTGATCCTATACTTATGTTTAGCATCAAACTACTTCTGTAAAACCAAATTATGATATTGAAAGGTCTAGCAGGAAATGCCGAATATATTAAGAACCTCCCGTGAAAACAAAGACATCCACATCTTCTTAATTGGCTCTGTTGCTGCAGCTACCTTAGACTTGCTGAGTCTTGGGAGTTTTGTGAATAAACACAATCAATGTCAAGTCTGTTGCATAAGTGCTTGGTTCATTAATATGACAAATATAACAACTGTACCTCATGCATAAGAGTAAGTCAGGCTACCCTTAAATTTCTACTGTGTTTAAATGTTCTGATACTGTGAAATCTCACCTAGTTTTGAGTTTCTTCCAATAGATGCTACAGTGGGATTCTGCCGGCAAGTAAGGAGAAAGTGGGTCAGCGACTGACTCTGTAGGTGTTTAAACAAGACTCCTTGGAGCCCAATAGTATCACTTGTGATCAAGAAAATTCACAAAGGAGGGGAGACGTGCAAATTCTGGCCACACATTTTGCTCCCTACGGAAAAAAATCCTTCCGAGTTTTTTGGATGGTCTTGTGAGCCACTCCCCCATTCCCTTAAGTTGCAAACTAAAACTTCCATAGAAAGAAGGCAGACTCTTAAATCAGCCTTTAAATCCTCTCCTTCACAGCAGCTCTACACTAAAATGAGGATCCAAGATCCTGGCCGATCCTTGGCATCAGCTTGGGAAGGCAAAGATTCCTTATCTTTGAGAACTCCAAACTCCTGTGGGTCCTATATTTTGAGCGCCTGGCAGATTTTCCGCCAGCCAGGCTCTACACGTTCGGAATCTACGCAAGTCGGGTTCCGTCAGTGACCCGGACGCACAGGAGACATCTGGGCACCTCCAGGTAGCACCTTACAATAATTCTGGAGTCTAACCCGCAGGCCCTCTTTCCAATCAAGTGACCTTTCCAAGGACCATCCTCTTGCCGTGTCCTGGGGGACCGGTCAGGGTTTGAGCAAGGAGGTTCTGTGACATCCCTGCGCTAAACACTCAACTGTTTGTTCTCTGCAAAGTAACACACTTCGGTGACCACGGCAGCCCCCACTCGCTCCTCGGCTGCTGACCACTGACTGGCGTCAGGGACACTGCAATCAAAGCTTTCAAAGGAGCAGATCTGAGTCTTCGGGAACTTCTCTACCACCGCTGTGAGACTGAGAGGGGAGGGAGAGAAGAAAGAAAAGCCCACACAAAAGCAGCCAGCCCTGCAAGCTCCGGCAGCACAAAGGCCCGCTCGCTGGTGCGGAGCCGTGAGGCTGGGCTGAAGCGAGGAGTAAGGCTAGTCCTCGGAGGCCTGCGCGCCGCGCCCCACGCTCTCCGAGCTGCCCCCGCGCACCCCGAGCCGGGGCACCGCGTTCTGGCGGCGGCGCGGGGCGCACGCTTGGCGCGCCCCGGGCTGCCGAGCTCCTCCGACCGCACAGCTCCCAGGGCGGCCCCGTGCCGCCAGGGACTCCGGCTCCGTCTCTGCCGGCCGCCCCGTCTACAGCCGGGGCCGCCCGAGTGGCGGAAGCCGAGCCCGTCCTCACCTGTGAACCTTCAGCAGAGCGGCGCGCAGAAGAGAGCGGCGGCGTCCGCGCTCGGCATCCCCGCGGCGGCCCCTGCAGCGGCGGCGGCTCCCTCCGCTGTCTGGGACGCCAGGGGGAGGGCGCTTCGCTTTGTTGCTTATTCATGAGGCCGCGACTAAGGCTGGGGATTGGGCGACAAGAAGAGGCGCCCGCCCCGGCTCGGCGGGCACGGACAACCCCAGCCGTCGCCCGACGCCCCTCCGCGCCCACTTCCCCGCCTCCGCTCGGGCGCCGGGGGCCGAGCCGCGGGGGCGGGTCTTACCCGCGTCCGGGCTCACGAGACCCCTTTGAGACACCCAGCCTTTCTGCCTCTCTTCGCTGTCTGGGCTTTCGCGACAGTTCTTCCTTATTCCCTCCAGAGAAGAAACCAGGGCAGTGTTTTCTGTAAAAGAGCCTGAATTTCTCTGGTCCTTGGTTGGGGCGAGGGGCGCAAGTCCGAGGCCGCAGGTTGTTCCTGGTGAAAACTCCGGTTTTGGTCTCTTAACCGTGCCCATAAGTAGGAACCAGTACAGTAGCCCCACACCAAGTGTTCCTTTCTCAGTCAGATAAATAGTAATAAGTACGGTTTATTGAGCCCGTACTAATGCCAGGCGCAATACTAGGAGCCTCACTATTTGTTCTTGTTTAGTCGCTAAGTCGTGTCTGAGTCTTTGTGACACCATGGACTGTAGACCACCAGGTTCCTCTGTCTATGGAATTCTCCTGGAGAGAATTCTCCTGGAGTGGGTTGCCATTTCCTTCTCCAGGGGATCTCCCCGACCCAGGGAACCAACCTGCGTCTCCTTCATCGGCAGGCAGATTCTTTTCCGCTGAGCCGCAAGGGAATCGGCTTTTGTTAATAATCTCCTCAGTAACCCTAAAAGATAGATATTGGTAAACCCCACTTCACAAAGGAGGGAGTTGAGGCCGTGAACCTGCCCAAGGCTGTATGGCTGACGTGGGCCCCGGGAATTCATGACTTACCTTCTTGAGTTTCTGAAGGACTCAGTTTCCTTTACCTGATATTCCTAATATTGGATAGAAGGAGGTGTCGGGAATCCAAAAGCCATTCTAAAAGAACCCTCACAGCACTTTATGTTTGCAATCCACATGAATCATCTCTTCTGCTTATTAGCTCTCTGCTTTGTAATAGCTTAGTTCGTTTTGTAGTTATTTGTAAACGTCCAGAAGTCAGAGGAAGGTCTTGCACCTTTGACCTCCATATCTAACACTGCACAACTCTGCACTGTCTTCCCTATTCCACCTTCCTTTAAAGTATTTTGTTTGTATTTCCGGAAAGGTAGTCAAAGAGTTCTTTAACGTGATTGAATTGAATCTGTAAGATCTGTTTTTGATATGTATTCAATGTCATACAATACAATACATTATACTGTGTGACCAGGCCTTCTGCCTGGATTCAAGACCCACCGGGTGGATAAGCTACACATGTAGTCTGACCAGGAAGTGTTTTAACATTTTGTTTTTATGTCAGCTGTCTGAAATTCAGACCCCATCTCATACAAATAATGTTATATGGTGAGATTCTCAGCTGGACCACAAAATTGATTCTATTTATCCAAATGCAGTTAAATAATAGTACTAATAAAAAAAAATCAATCAGGTGGACCAAAGAATCAAGGAGAATAGGAGAAGCAAGCAGGAGAAAGGGACTCCAGCTCCCCATGCAGGGAGAGCCAGCCGTACACACAAACTTGAAATAGTCAGTTTCTCTGACATCTTCCTGGCTCCCTTTCTGCATCCCTCTCAAGCATCCTAGTGCTTTTCTAAAACACCTGTGATTTTCTTAAGTCCCTGCTGCAGAACTCTGCTTCCTAGGCTGCCTTGTTCTCAAAGTTTTCCATTCTCCAAAATTACCCTTCTCCCATAGTAGAATTCCTATTCACCTTTTCCTTGATACAAATTATTTCAGCTTACTTTACAGTGATTTTATTGGAACCCATTTACACTCTCCTTTAGCCTCCCGTCAATGGTTTGTATTGCGTTAAACAATTCTGATGAATGCGATTTATCTCAACAGCTGCTGTGGGTACGTGGCAGTGATAATAAGATCCTTTCTTCCACTCCAGCACACACACAAACTATAAATCAGGGAAAGTTACATTCTAATCAGTAAATCCACATACAATGAATGTTGTTAGTCTTTTACTAGTAAAGCAAGAAATTGTATGTGTACATTAAAAGAGTTTGGCAATACCCAAAACACCAATCAAGATAACAAGAAAGGAAGCTCAGGAAGACAGTTTTGGGGTAAGCCAGACTTAGTCAATTAAAATAGAGAACCTCCATTCTATATTTGGAACATACTTTTGCTAAAATGATTTGTTTATCCAAAATTCAAATTTAACTGTATTTTATTTGATCATCTTTGCTGTATCAGGTCATCACCTGGTTCTGATTGATAAAAACCTCTGTGTCAGGATCTGGTCACATGAAGAACTGGATAACCAACCCCAAGAGCCAGAAGTGGACAATATCCATGTAAATACCACCCAAAAGTGAGTCTTTGCAATAAGGATCTGAGCATTGTGGTGTCCTTGGTAAGGTTATCAGTAAATTGAGTGGAAATGCTCCACAGTACAGCACCTCATTTTCTTTACCAAGTACTCTATCTGACAGTTTGATCCCTCATGTATGTTGCCCATAAGGCACTGCTGAAATGAGTGTATGTGAGCTGGATTGTGTGTGTCTGTAACCAAGGTAACATCATCAAGGGAAGTACCACTTAAGGGCTCGCATTAAGGGCTCTTGAAAACCAGCTGCAAGACTTCCCCAGACTCTGCACCGCTGTTCGATGAGGATGTTTTTTGTTTGTTTATCTTTGTTTTGTTTTCATTTGAAATTACACCAGCGACAACCATGTGAGGCAACAGAACAAAATAAAATGAAAGAGGCACATGAAAAAAAATTCTCCTTGGAAGGCTGAGTTTCCCTGGAATCTCCTCAAAATAGTTCCCTCAACTTTCTGCAAGTTCTTGTTTTTCAGTGATTTTCCCTTCCTTTATTTTTGACCCCTTTAAAATTCCTTCCTTGGATTTTGTTGTTCTTATAAGTCTCCCAAGGCAGCCAACAAAGAGATCCAGCCACAGAAGAAGGACAGGAGCTCCTAGAGTCACAGTCATTTGAGTATTGGATATTTTCCTTCTCACTATAGAAGACCGTCTTTTCTTCCTGGCCTTCCTAAGTGTTTTTGAATACGAGTTTTGCAGCATCTTGCAGTGTTCTTCTCCCCAGGTCCTCCCTGACTCAAATCCTCTGTCAAGGGCTTTCTGTTTGCTTTTAATTTCTTAAGTTGAAATTCCCAGGAATAGACTTCCATATGCTAAGTATAATCAACTCACTCTGGGTATTCAACAAATACATGATGGTTGTGGTGATGATGTAGTAAATAATGGTAATGATGTTAGAATAAGCTGTTGAAATTCTGATACATGTTTTCATTGCATTCAAAACCTTCAAACACTTGACAGGATCTATTTCAGTACTAAGGAGCTTAGATTTCTACCTTGTACTAAATTATGTGCTTAAAATGAAGTTTATTGGGACGACAGGTCAGTAGAATAAATCCAATAAAATGATTTTCTTTAAGCAAAGTTTTGGAGCAGCAATTTTTTTTGAAGTGTAGTTGATTTACAGTGTTGTGTTGGTTCTGGTGTACAGCAAAGTGATTCAGTTTTATATATATACATACTCATATTCTTTTCCACTATTGTTTATTGAAAGATATTCAATGTGTTATACAGTAAGACTTTGTTGTCTGTCTATTTTATATATAGTAGTTAGTATCTGCTAATCTCAGATTCCTAATTTATCCCTCTCCCACCCCCTTTCCCCTTTGGTGACCGTAGTTTGTTTTCTATGTCTATGAGTCTGTTTCTGTAACATCAAATTTTTGTACACTGTAGTTGCTTTTAACTGTCAACACAAAGTCCATAATATTTGCCTACCTTTATTGTTTAACTCTTATTATGCAAACACGCAGATGAATCCTCTTGTTTCTCTGCTTTCCCCTAAGAAACCTATTATAATTATTGAAGCAGAGTATTATATGCTTTATAGTCCCTTCTTTTTAAAACCTGTTATTTTCTATATTCTCTTATTCAGTGTTAGATTTCTTTAGGCCTTGAACTTTCTGATTCTGTTCTAACAAGTGGAATTTTGACTGTTGCAAGATCAGAGAGGAAAGAGCTACTGATGTAGGTACAAAAGCAAAATGTTCACCAGTACAGCTCTTTAAAAAGAAACTTTTTAGATAAAGTCATTGGTGAAAACATTTATAAGAAATAAATCTTTCTTTTTTCAGCCATAAATAATGTCCTTGTGAGACTGTCAGTAAAAAAAAATAAAAAATAAGAGATTCTAACATCAAAGATCCAATGTCTTCTGTGGAATATACCCTTTAATCCTAAGTGAGTTGGTCCTCATGAATAACTCTATTCAAAAATGACATCTATAACTCTAGAAAAGATAAGAATTGCCTTTTACAGTGTCAGACAAAGAGTTTTAGCTCCATCTTTTCCTTTTTTACATGCCTAATGATAGCTAAATCAATGACTTTAGTAGATTCATTATATTAAATAATGAGCATGAGATATTTATTATTGACATAGGTGTGCATGTATATGTGCTGTGTGCTTAGTCACTCAGTCTTGTCCTACTCTCTGCCACCCCATGGACTGTAGCCCACCAGGCTCCTCTGTCCATGGGGATTCTCCAGGCAATAATACGGAGTGAGTTGCCATGCCCTCCTCCAGGGGATCTTCCCAACCCAGAAGTGAACCCAAGTCTCCAGCACTGCAGGTGGATTCTTTACTCTCTGAGCCATGAGGGAAGCCGTATAAGTGTACACACCTACTGCCTATGTTGCAAAGAAAAATTTACTCACTTTTGCCTCTATCAAGGATAGAATTTTTTAAAATGGCTTTACTGGGAATGGCAAAACTCGGGCCCAAGGAACAACTCTCATCAAAGAAAGTTCTTAGAGATGGAAATAGGTTAGCTAAAGAGGTTATATATTCTCTTTTTGTTCTAGGTTTCTAAAAAAGGATAATTTTTATTTTGGCTGGGATGTGGGTTTCTGGTTAAACACCATTAGCTCACTCAACAAGGAAATTACAGGGATAGGTTTAAGTGTGGGAAAACTACCAAATATATTGACTATGGCTCACTACATTGTTGTTCATTATCTGGTTTCCAACAAATGTTATCTCACATTTTTAACATGTGACTTGGGCATTAACATCAGACTCAGGATACATTATATCAGTCTGTAGCCACACTGACAGCAAAAGCAGAGAACAGGATATGATGAAGGGGTTATCAGCACCATTACAATAAAGACATTCTTGAGACTCTTAATCAGCATAGTACCAACAATTTGAACATTTTGAACATTGATTTACTAAGGTTTAAATGTGTCATGGATGTAAGTGCAAAAAGAAAACAAAGATTTACCTTCAGTATAGCACTTAACCTCCTGATAAATTCTTTGTCCGTATACATTTTAGTTAATTCTTCTGGCTACACTGTCTGAGAAATAGCATAATTGAGTCCAGGTTTCACAGTCATTAAGCAATGAGAAGCACATCATTTAATGGAGGCTATGCATTTATCTTGGCATTGAGTTTAGCTCTGTGGTTAATCAATCAGCATGTGTTTTTGTTTTGTGAAAAGAATGTGGTTCTTGTAAGGATATCTAAGTCAAACTTAACTTTCCTCACAGATGTTCGTTTAGCTGAGAGGAAAAAGTTACACACACAAAAAAATTATGAATAATACATAATATAAAATTTCCTCATATGCTTCTTCAATAATCTAAGAGCGGCACTGATTTTTATTATCTTTTTTCATGATACCACTGCAGAGAGGAACCAGCTGATAAAACCTATGTGGAAGCCTGTGCAGAAAGGCCATGCCCTAACATAGTAAGTACATGTGCCATATAAAACCATCTTCCCCTCTCCCCCCTAAAATTGTAAGTTCTGAATTAAGACAGTGTGTTTTATACAGTCTCACATCTCCCACAACACCTACGGCAGTGCCTTGCCTTAACACAGCAGCTGTTCAAAAAGTATTTGTTGACTATTTAATTATGGCCATAAGCCTATTACCAAAATAAGCACTGTAATGCTAATCATTTTACAACTATGAAGCACAGACTAAAACTACTAACCGAAAAGGAAGTTTGACCAGCTTCAGAATGAAGTATATTAATCCCAAGCAAGTTAGGAAGATGTATCCCAATGGAGGGCTTCCCAGGTAGCGCTAGTGGTAAAGAATCAGCCTGCCAATGTAGAGGATGTAAGAGATGCAGGTTTGATCCCTGGGTTGGGAAGATCTGCTAGAGGAGGAAATGGCAGCCCACTCCAGTATTCTGGCCTGGAAAATTCCATGGACAGAGGAGCCTAGTGAGCTACAGTCCATGGGGACACAGAGTCGCACAAATTACTGAGTGACTGGACACACACATCACATTTCATTGGAGGTGGCTTTGAGACTCAGGATTTAATTATTTTTTATATCTTATAAGAAGGAATTATTCCTTGCTTGTATACGTTCTGTCTGAAACCAGAGGACTAGGCCAATTGATATATCAATGCACCTTCCTACACAAGTCTGCAATCCTTTTCATTGGTAAAGTTCACATTCATTTAAAGAGAAGCTGCATATGAAGACAAGATACAACCTGAGAATAAGATTTAAAAACAAAAAACTGCTTCAAGCTGAATTCAGAACTCATATTCTATCCAGGCCCAAATCCCTTGAAATAGCTAGAGCAGTAGGTTTTGTTTTTATTTGTTCTTTGTCATGACCTACAATATAAAACGGACATAAAAGATGCATTTTGCGGAATCAGTTCAAAGCAATTCCTCCATAACTGGTGTATAAAAATAGCCAAAGGGAAAAAAATTTCCTTCAGAATCAGAGTGATTGAAAATATATTTCACACAGAAAAAATTATTCACTTTTGGATTGGTCTAAATCTAAAGTGTGAGGCATCACCACAAAAGAAGAAATAAATTGGTCCCCAAAAGATTCCTAGTAAGGATACGTAAGATGATCACTTGATGTTCTCCCTTTTCTCTTTTGGCTTTTAGGAGCTTTCTATAAGGGGTTTACAGGCCTAGTGACATGTCTTGTTTCCCTTCCATTTCTCTCTTTGTAAAAGGCATTTTAAGGCACTTATCATTGCCAACTAATGTTCATTTTACGACACTGTTCTCACCAGTCATCTTCCATGGACGAGCACTTTTCACTCAGATCATATTTTGCTTAGCTCATCAAAAACGTAAGACTTCTTTTTTTTCCTGTCAGACTTCATTTTTCCTGTAAATTCTATTTCTGTGATCTTTTTTTTAATCACACCTCTGCTTGATTCCTAGATTCCATACTGCTTCTTTTGTAATTTACTGTCTTCTCCAGTGTGTATATTGTTCCTAGTTTTGAAGAGGCAAGTCTGGGCACTTTGGCCCAATCCTTTTTGATCTCAAAGTCTTTTTTTCTCATTTTCCCAAGATCAAATGATTATTTTCAAAGCAATAATATGGAAATCAATATTCTGTCCCATAATTCTGTGCAACTGGGACTATAGAAATGTCACTGTCCCTGCCCCACATCTTCAAATGAACATTCTCAGGTCACAACAGTAAGTCTTCCCAAAGGGGAACTTCTGGAAAAGCAAGCTATTTCCTTGGCTCATATTTCCCCCTTTTTGTAGGATGCACCAGCCATGTATCCAAGAATATACTAGAGAGTAGAGAGGCATCTACCAAGAAGCCCACACTGGTTGACAGCCATAAGATTAGAGACAAGCACAAAGTACATGTCAACATACTGACAAAAAATCCGAGGCAGCTTGGGAGTAACTCTTCATTTCATTCATGGTGGAAACACAAAACATCCTAGGATGCCTTCTTCCTGATAGATAGTTGCTATGGAGTCAGCAAATCCATAGTATTGGATTCTCTGCCAATGAACTATACCATAGATCTCAGAGTGATCACATGGAAGGGATGTGTGATGACAGTAGCAGCAGAAGCAGCCACCACCTTTCAGACTATCTCCCCGATAACTTGGTCAAAGGAAGATCACACTTCTTTCTGTACACCTCCAGATCCTAATTCCTTAGCCTTGTCATACTCCTGATAATGCTGTGAAACTTTACCATGGACCACAGTTCCAAGGACCTCTGAACACAGTCTTGGAGTTAAGCCTGTGAAGAACCCATGCTTCCCATGGATGATTGCAATATGCTGAGCATAATAAATGAGACTAGGAAGCTGACAGACTTGCCACCCCAAAATATTTCATCCTGTCATTGGAGAAAGCAGCTCATACCCTACCTGGAGGAGCACCTTCATGTACATCAGCTGCTGGGACGGTAAGACCAGGCCCAGGAGCACCTGACTGGCTGGGTCAGCCATGAGGGCACCCTCGGCCAGATGGACAGACAGAGCCACCAGAAAACCAAACCTGTCCCAAATCATGTACCAGGGCTGCCAGCTTCACTGCCCCGCCTCCCAGCCATTGTTAGAGTCTTGAATTCCAGTATGCTGCCTTGTTTGAGGCAGCCTGAGGACAAGAGCCAGATTCCATGTGGTGCAATGCCCTGTTCACTCATGAGCAGTTGACAGACCCACTACTTTGCCCAAGACACAATCTCAGCAGTTGGCTTCACCTCCTCTACCTGGGAGGAGGAAATGTGGCAGACAAGAGGGCATCACAGGCCGATGATTTAATAAAAAAGATATGGGAGAAATAAAAACACTAGAATATAGAAACATTCTCCCCATCACAAAGAAAGAAACAAAGGCAAAGAGGACTACCGCCACCCTTTTCCTCCTTCTCCATTCCTTCTTCCAAGCCCAGGAGCTGGACTTCCAGCCACAGAAATGGAAGAAGGAGGCACTCGAGTTAGGGGATTGAGCAGGAACTCTGAGGTTGCTGCTTTCCTTCTTGTCGCCTTCTTTAGGAGCAAGCTTGAGGGCAGACACTGAAGAGGTGCAGCTTAGGTCTGGGGTGATATGCCTGAGACCTGCCCTTTCTACAGGAAAGCTCAGTGGGGTTGGCCAACTGTGGAGTTTTCCTTTAAAACACCCCGGAACAGTCACACTGGTTATTAAAGCGTTTATCAGTTGGTGAAAAGCCATGATCCCAAGCTGTTACTCCAAGCTCTCCCCTTAGCTTCAACTCCTCCGCCACCTCCCCATCATCCCAGACTAAAAGGTCGGGGGCAGGTAATGCCTGGCACAGACAGGGGTCACTTCTGATTGGTTAGTATCATGCTCACACCATTTGAATTATTTTTAATAGCTTCTCTGGTTAAAGCAGAACAGTGACATCTTTAGAGAGGGAATATGAGAAAGATCTTCTTCCTCCAAAAGCACATTTTCAGACTAAATAGTCCACAGTGGCATCTTTGTTTCAAAGTGGCTCTTCCTACTTTGGGTTCTGCCTGGGCCTTGTAGAAGGAAGTAGAACTTACTGCATAATTTTTTTAATTTAATTTTTAATTGAAGGATAATTGCTTTGCAGAATTTTGTTGTTTTCTGCCAGACATCAACATGAATCAGCCATAGGTATACATATGTGCCCTCCCTCTTGAACCTCCCTCCCATCTCCCGCCCCATCCCACCCCTCTAGGTTGATACAGAGACCCTGTTTGGGTTCCCTGAGTCAAACAGCTAATTCCCATTGGCTATCTATTTTACATATGGTAATATCCATGATACGCTGTCCATATATCTCACCATCTCTTCCCCTCTCCCCCGTGTACATAAGTGTGTTCTCCATGTCTGTTTGTCCGTTTCTCCATTGCTGCCCTGCAAATAAATTCATCGGTACCATCTTTCTAGATTCCATATATATGCGTTAGTATATGATATTTATCTTTCTTTTCTCTGACTTATTTCACTCTGTATAATAGGCTCTAGGTTCATCCACCTCATTAGAACTGTCTCAAATGTGTCCCATTTTAAGACTGAGTAGTATTCCATTGTGTATATGTACCACAGCTTCTTTATCCATTCATCTCTCGCCGGACATCTAGGTTGCTTCCACGTTCTAGCTATTGTAAATAGTGCTGCGATGAACACTGAGATACATGTGTCTTTTTTGATTTTTGTTTCCTCGGGGTATATGCCTAGGAGTGGGATTACTGGGCCACATGGTGGTTTTATTCCTAGTTTTTTAAGGAATTTCCATACCATGTTCCATAGTGGCCATATCAGTTTAAATTCCCACCAATGCAAGAGGGCTCCCTTTCCTCCACACCCTCTCCAGCATTTATTGTTTGTAGACTTTTTCATGATGGCCATTCTGACCAGTGAGAGGTGATATCTCTTTGTAGTTTTGATCTGCATTTCTGTAATAATGAAAGATGTTGAGCATCTTTTCATGTGTGTTGTTGGCCATCTGTATGTCTTCTTTGGAGAAATGTCTGTTTAGGTCTTTTCCCCACTTTTTGATGGGGTTGTTTGTTTTTCTGGTATTGACTTGTATAAGCTGCTTGTATATTTTGGAAATTAATCCTTTGTCAGTTGTTTTATTTGCTATTATTTTCTCCCATTCTAAGGGTTGTCTTTTCACCTTGCTTATAGTTTTCTTTGCTGTACAAAAGCTTTTAAGTTTAATTAGGTCCCACTCGTTTATTTTTGTTTTTATTTCCATTACTCTGGGAGGTATGTCACAGAAAATTTGCTTTATGTCATCTAGTGTTCTGCCTGTGTTTTCCTCTAAGAGTTTTATAGTTTCTGGTTTTACATAGGTCTTTAACCCATTTGAGTTTATCTTTGTGTATGGTGTTAGGAAGTGTTCTAATCTCTTTCTTTTATATGTAGCGGTCCAGTTTTTCCAGCACCACTTATTGAAGAGGTTGTCTTTGCCCTATTGAATATCCTTGCCTCCTTTGTCAGAAATAAGGTACCCATAGGTGCGTGGGTTTATTTCTGGGCTTTCTATCTTGTTCCATTGGTCTATATTTCTGTTTTTATGCCAGTACCATACTGTCTTAGTGACCGTAGCTTTGTAGTATAATCTGACGTCAGGAAGGTTGATTCCTTCAGCTCCACTCTTCTTTCTCAAGACTGCTTTGGCTATTCAGGATCTTTTGTGTTTCCATACGAATTGTGAATTTTTTTGTTCTAGCTCTGTGAAAAAATGCCATTGGTAATTTGATAGGGATCTCATTGAATCTGTAGTTTTCATTTATTAGTATAGTCATTTTCACAATATTGATCTTCCTACCCAGGAACATGGAATATCTCTCCCATCTGTTTATGCCATCTTTGATTTCTTTAATTTTGTAATTTTCTGTATACAGTTTTGTAATTTTCTGTATATACTTCTTTTGTCTCCTTAGGCAGGTTTATTCCTAGATATTTTATTATTTTTGTTGCAATAGTGAATGGAATTGATTCCTTTATTTCTCTTTCTAATTTTTCATTGTTAGTATATAAGAATGCAAGTGATTTCTGTGTATTGATTTTGTATCCCATGACTTTGCTAAATTTACTGATTTGCTTTAGTAATTTTCTTATAGTATCTCTAGGGTTTTCTATGTATAATTTCATGTCATCTGCAAACAGTGAGAGCTTTACTTCTTCTTTTCCAATCTGGATTCCTTTTATTTCTGTTTCTTCTCTGATTGCCATACTAGAACTTCCAAAACTATGTTGAATAATAGTGGTGGGAGTGGGCACCCTTGTCTTGCTTCCGATCTTAGAGGGAATGCTTTCAGTTTTTCACCACTGAGAATAATGTTTGCTGGGGGGTTACCATATATGGCCTTTACTAGGTTGAGGTAGATTCCTTCTATGCCCATTTGTTTTGAAGAGTTTTAATCATAATTGGGTGCTGAATTTTGTCAAAAGGTTTTTCTGCATCTATTGAGGATATCATAGGGTTTTTATCTTTTTAATTTGTTAATATGGTGTATCACATTGATTGATTTGCATATATTACAGCATCCTTGCATCCCTGGATTAACCCCAACTTAATCATGGTGTATGAGCTTTTTAATGTGTTGTTGAACTCTGTTTGCTAGAGTTTTGTTTAAGATTTTTGCATCTATGTTCATCAGTGATGTTGGCCTGTAGCTTTCTTTTTTTGTGTTGTCTTTGTCTGGTTTTGGTATTATGGTGATGGTGGCCTCATAGAATGAGTTTGGAAGTGTTCCTTCCTCTGCAATTTTTTGAGTTTTAGAAGGATAGGCATTAGCTCTTCTCTAAATGCTTGCTATAATTCACCTGTGAAGCCATCTGGTCCTAGCCTTTTGTTTTTGGGGAGATTTGTAACCACAGTTTCAATTTCAGTGCTTGTAATTGGGTTGTTCATGACTGCTGCATAGATTACCTGGAGATTCTTGGCCTTCTAGCCTAAGAGAGCAAACAAGTGTTCTAGAACCTAAGTAGAAGTAATGTTTAGGAACCAAGAGGTGCATTAAGCTTCAAATTAGGATAATAATAGTTTTCCTAGCCTTGGATTGTTGGATTAAATGAGATAGTGTGGAAAGTACTTAGCACAGTGTCCTTAGTACCCATTATATGTTCAATAAATACTATTATTTGAAACAGAGTGCAGACCCAGTTGATGAGCTATTGATTTTTAGATATAAAAGGAGGTGTGTCTTGAATTGATGGCTAATGGATTTTCTTTTTCTGTTGAGGAACTTTCTGAGAGCAGAAGTAAGCCTATTGACATTCTGCTTTTTAAACTTCAAGTTTGATGGACAGAATTATTTTCTGGGCCTAGATCTTTAAAGTAATAAGTTTGATATAATTCTGTAGCATTTTCTTGGAATTTCACCAAAGAAATTTAATCAATAAAGTTATCATATTTAACTAAGGGGTTTGGATTATGTCCACCAGGATCTTCTCATTAACATAAAATTTTCCCCAAACAGAAATATTCTTAAATAGGGAGAAAATATTATTTAATTTGCTGAGATTATGCTATCATTTCAAATGATTTGGCATTTTATGAAAATGAGCTTAACTACAACCAATTACATTGGTTGTGGTTGTAGTTACATCACTGAAAATAGGTTGGAACTGTAATAGTATCTGGCCTATTGCATGCATGCATGCTCAGTTGCTTTAATCATGTCCGACTCTTTGCGGCCCTGTGGACTGTAACCCGCCAGGCTCCTCTGTCTATGGATTCTCCAGGCAAGAACACTGGAGTGGGTTGCCGTGCCCCCCTCCAGGGGATCTTCCCAGCCCAGGGATCGAACCTGGGTCTGCTGTGTCTCCTGCACTACAGGCAGATTACTGGTGAGCCACCAGGGAAGCCCATCTGGCCTATTACAGACATTCAATATATTTATCTAATTTAGGGATCTCAGAACACTTTATAGTTTTGGAGGTATGTTTCTGCTCCAAATTCCTTATTTATCAAATGAGAGAATGAAACTGCACAAAGCTGCCTGATGCCTGGGAAAAGCCCATCCTGGCCTCTGGATCTGTAGCCTGGGACTCTTCCTCTCCTACACAGTCTGTCTTCAGTGACATGAACTTGTTTCAAAGTGTGAGAAACTTGTTTGTTAACCAAAGATTTAGCCTTTCAGCAAAGCATCATCATCTATGTTGACACACGTCTGAGCCTCGGCTCCTGTTCTTGCTCTGACTTGCCCATTTGTGTCACCTTTCTCCTTTGGCTATGGATGAATGTTCTTCCTCAGGACTCACCTGCAGCATCGCCTCCAGGAAACTGTCCCTGATTACCCAGGCTGGTCTGAGTGCTCTTCTTCAGGCCCCGTCACACCTGGACCCAGCTGTGTCGTAGCACTCAAGTTCAGTATAGCTACTTCTTAGGTATCCAGTCTCCGCATTGGTGCTGAGCGAAGCCTGCTTCCTGAATCCAGCTTGCATCCTCCCCTTATGCTGCATCATGCCCCTGCCTGTATTCCCCCTAAGTTTGTACCACTCCCCAACCTGTATCCATCTCAGCTTTTATCCTCCTAGCCTATATCCCTCCCAACCTCCACACCCTCAACATATTCCCCATCCAGCAATATGACTCTCCAACAAGTCCATATCCCCAACCCACATCCTTCCCAGCTTGCATCCCTTCCCATCCCAATGTACCCTAGTTTGCATCTTTCCCCACAAGACTGTATATTCCCACCTTATCCCTCCAGCCTCTATCACCCTGTGAAAGGAAAAACTCTCAAACAGCTTCCAAGATTCCCGGGCTTTGATATGAACACACCTTCTCCTATGAATTCAATCCAACTCTAATTTAGGTGCTGCTGTGAAGGGATTTTGCAAATGTAATTGAGGTCCCAAATTGATATTAAAATAGATTATCTGGGTAGGCCTGATCTAATCACGTGCATGCATGCATGCTCAGTCATTTTTGACTGTTTTTCAAACACATAGACTGTACACCACCAGACTCCTCTGTTCTTGGAATTTTCCAGACAAGAATATTGGAGTGGGTTGCCATTTCCTTCCCCAGAGGATCTTCCAGACCCAGGGATCAAACCTGCATCTCTTGCATTGGCAGGGGGATTCTTCACCACTCAGCCACCTGGGAAGCCCTGATCTAATCACATGAACCCTTTAAATCTGGGTCTAGAGGCTGGAAACAGAGAAATGAGGGAGATGTGAAGCATGAGAAGGTACAGGGAGGGTGGCATGATGGCAAGGATTGACAGATGCCCTCTAGTTGCTAAGAGTGTCCTCTGCCAACAGCCTGCAAGAACAGAGGAGCCTCTGTTCTATAACCATAAGGAACTGAATTCTTCCAACAGCTGTGTGAAACCTGGAAGAGGACCCTGAACTCTAAAAAGGAATACAGCCCAGCTGACACCTTGATTTGAACCTTGTCATACCCTGAACGGAAAATTCAGCCACACCGTGACTTGGACTTCTAATAAAAGGAGGCTGTTTTAAGCCATTAAATTTGTGATAATTTGTTACACAACTGTAGAAAACTAACAAAACACCACTCAGCCTGTATCTCCCCAGTGTGTATCCCCCTCAGTCTACATCCCCCACCGGGATGTATCTCCCCAGCTGGAATCATTCTGCAGCCTATTTTGCCCCCACCCCACAACATCGTTTCCCCCAGCCTGTGTTTCTCCCAGCCTGTACTATTCCCCAGCATGAGTGCTCCCCACCCACATATACATATGTCTGTCACATGCAACGGCCTCATCAATGCAGACACACACACTCCAGTATCCCTAACACCAGCACCGACCCATGTGCCCAACACAGCACCCTAAGTGACTCAGCCCAAGGAACACACTGGTTGAATCCGCAGTCTACATTATCCCATTGTCTCCCTTCCAAGTCCAGTGAGCAGGGCTGGGCATCCCAGAAGGAAAACTGATCTCTCTCCCGCTTTGCTCCCTTCAGCCTCAAGCCAATCATAAGCAGTCAGTCAGCCCTCCAGGTGGCCAAAGGCATTCCCTTTCCAAAGTAAATAAACTGGCCTCAAACCCACTGGCCAAAATCCTTTCCTCTCTCCTCTCTAAGGATCTGAAATCCCTTTCCTTCAGGAGTATTGCTGACATCCCTCCTTCCTCTGAATTTCCCACCTCTGTTCCAGGGCCAAACCTTGTTTCTTCTTCTTTTGAACTTTTTTTTCCCCCACCAGTGCTATCCCCCAATTTAAATTTGCAAGATAGTGCTTTCTCCGTCATGTATTCCTCCATATTATATCCTTGTACCTAAACTGGAATTCTCTCTGAGGTGTTTAGGATGAGTGGCATAAGGAGCTAATTGTTGTTGTTGTTTAGTTGCCAAGTCTCGTCCGGCTCTTTTTGACCCCATGGACTGTAGCCCACTGGACTCCTCTGTCCATGGGATTCCCCAGGCAAGAATACTGAGTGGAATGTCATTTCCTTCTGCAGGGTATCTTCCCAGCCCAGGAAATGAACCGGCATTTTCCTGCGTTGGCAAGATTCTTTACCAGTGAGCCACCTGGGAAGCCCAAGTAGCTAATACCTACCTTCAAAAAGCAAACATTAGGTGAAGAAGATGGAATATCAGACTAGAAGGATAAATAATTTTATATATAATAACCCTATGAGGTATACTTATTACCTTTATTTCACAGGCAAGGAAATTGAGGCTCAGAGAGGTTAAGTAAGTTGTCAAAGGTCACACAGCAAGCAAGCAGCAGAACTGAGATACCAATTCAGGCAGTCTGGCTCCAGAGTCCATCCTCTTGTCTGCTCCACTGAACACTTACTATATGTCAGGATCACTGTGCTAAGTAGAGTATGTGTGTGATCTACGTGACAAAGGAGAAGGAGAGAAAGCAGAGACAACTGTGTGCTGAAGTGATAGGGAAATTTCCCATTGAAAAGTGCGGCTTGAACTAGCATGACAGGAAACTTAGGACTCAAAGTCACCAGGGTAGGGTGTTCAAGTCGGGGGAATGGGACCAGCTAGGCCTAGGAGTGAGAACATACATTTTCTGGTACCTTAATTTGCATAGAAGAGTCATAGGAAATAAAGCTGAAAACCAGATTGCTTAAATAAATAAATAAAGCTGGAGACCAGTCTTAACTACTGGACCACTAAAGAAGTCCTCTGTGTCATATTCTAATTCCCTGCTCGCCCCCCAAAAAAGTTAAAATAATGTGTTACATTAAATGTCATCAGCAAAATGCTTGTGTGCGTGCTAAGTCAATTCAGTCATGTCTGACTCATTGCAACCCTATGGACTGTAGCCTGCCAGGCTCCTCTGTTCGTGGGATTCTCCAGGCAAGAATACTGGAATGGGTTGCCATGCCCATCTCCCAGGGATCTTCCCAACCCAGGGATCAAACCCACGTCTCTTATGTTTCCTGCATTGGCAGGCAGGTTCTTTACCACTAGTGCCACCTGGAAAACCCCCATCAGCAATATCCATTTTAGCAAACTCCCAAAACATGGGAAGAGGCCCATAGCTGTTAGTTCCCTTTCTATTTCCTCAGTGCTCAGCAAGAAGGAAGCAGTGGAGGTAACAGGATTTTCCATCAGGCATCTGGTCTGGGCCCAGGACCAGGGACACCAAGAGAAGGCAAGGCCTGGAGAATAAGGCTAGGGCTGGGTCCCAGGGTGCTGGGACATGCCTTCACAGCTGGCAAACAGCTTGCTGGGATCAACCTGCAGGGCTTGTTCACAGATGTTCACAGGAAGGTGAATGGAGTCAGAAGTGGGCCCCAGTGGAGGTCCCAAACACATGGAGATGACACGGAAAACGAAGGGAGTTTAAACAGGAAGTATGTGTATAGAGGGAGGGAATGGGAATGAGGAGGGATTGGGGAATAGAGTGGGGTTTACAAAGTGCTGAAGGCAAGTGTTTTCAATTAAAAAAAAAAAAAAAAAGAGAGCTCAAATAGGAAAATCTTTGTCCTGGGACCAAGATTCAGGGACAGTGTCCCCTGAGGAAACCGGTGAGAAAAGGACCAGGGTTTGGTGACAAAACAAAGACCCAGTTATCAAAACTGGGGTAGAAAATGGGAACAAAGTTGGAGCTGGGTGACAAGATCAGAGCAGGAGGAACAGCTGTGACCGGTGCTGAGTCACTGTGACCTGATGCTGAGTCAGTGGAAGACAGACCGGATTGGACCCAGGCTTGAGGGCACAGATGGAAGTCCGGAGCCCTCGCTGTGAGCTGGGACGGGCTGTGAGAGCAGGAACCTGAGTTTGGTACTGACAGGGCAAACATTCAGTGGAATCTTGCAGGCAGGTTCTCCCAGGCAATAGCAGATGACAAATTCTTTGCACTGTTTTTGCCTCTCACTCATCTGGGGGGAGCCTGTTAAAAATGCTAGTGGCCAGCCCTCCTCAGACTTAACGAATTAGAATCTTTATTGGTAGGGACAACTCATCTGGATCAGGGGAATCTGATGCACACTAACATTGGAAACTGAGAGGTTTAGATTCTAGATTTTAGAAGGATATATTCACATTGTTGAGCAACTATTGCCACCATCCATCTTTAGAACTCTTTTCATCTTGCAAATCTGAAACTCTATACCCATTAAACAGTAATAATATGACCAATTAATCTTTGACAAAGGCAGCAAGCCTATTCAATAGGGAAAGGATCATCTCTTCAATAAACAGTTCTGGGTCAGCTGGATTTCTACCGCTGTAGAAATTCTTCTACAGAAGAATGAGGTTGAACCACCCTACCTCATACCATATATAAAAATTAATGAAAAATGGATCAATAACCTAAATATAAAGGAAAACCTATAAAACTTAGAAGAAAACAGAGTAAACCTTGATGACCTCACCGTCTAAAGAAAGTAACTTGCCTCTAATAACCACATGCAGTTCAGACTGAGGTAGGTTCACATATATTCTTTTTTTTTTTTTTTCCTTGGGGCCAGGAGCCCCATCCCGCCCCCCTCCTGGGGCCTACCCTGTAATTGGCCTACTCCTACTCATCAGCCACACCTTTCATGTCAATATCCTTCCCTTTGTTGGTCCTTTATAGGAACTAGCTTCCAGCAAGAGTGGAGAAGAGTTGCTGCCAGACCCTGCAGGGCCTCCAACCCTCTTCCCCAGGAGGACCAGGCACCCTCTTAGTGGCCAGCCCAAAGGACACTTTCTGACCTTAGCTTCCTGGACCTCTTTCTCTTGACTGCATCTTTCCCGGGACTTCTCAGCTGCCTCCTTCCTCTTTGCCTACCTTCTGTCTGCTCCCACCATGCTCTCTCCCTGGATGAGCTCTTTGGCCCCTTGACCTCAACTCCCTTCTGTCTATATCCCCACCTCCTGCCCTCTGCTTGGGGCACTCTCTCTGGTTTAGGCTCCACCTTTCAGGGATGACTGCCCCCGTGATGGTACCCAAACAGGGCATCTGCAGGAGCCACCTTCCTCCTGGGCTCCAGGCAGCTCCCTTTGGTGTCCTATACATCTTCAAATTCTGAGCGCTACAAAGTCAGTTTCTTCCTCCACTCTGAACTGCCACCTTTCTTACCTCTGTAAATAAGACACAGCAACCAGTCCTCACAGGTCAGAGGGGGTGTCTTAGACCTCTTTCTCCCCAAGGCAGGGGCTTCCCACAGCCTGGCCTTCAGGGGTCTTTGGAGTCCTCTGCCTACTTTTCCCTCTGCTTCTCTCTTACTTCAGGCTTCATCATCCTGCCTGGATTACAGCAGCAATTCTGAACTGGCCTCTCTGACACCAGTCTCTCCCCTATAACTTACTCTATCTGTAGCCACATCAGTTTTTTTTTTTAATCAACAGACACAAACACGTTCTAATAATTAAAAGATTTCAATGACTTCTAGCCAACAGGGTGACCCTCCAGTGCCTCAGCCTGAAACCGTTTACCACAGATTGGGACTTGAACCCAGCTAAAACCCAGTTTGGGACTCGAACTCACGTGGCTGGGACTCAGACCCAGCCAAAACCCTGCTTGGGACTTGAACTTACGTGGCTGGGACGCAAATCCAGCCAAAACCTTGCCTGGGACTCAAACTCAGCCAAAACTCTGCTTGGGACTTGAACCCACGTGTCTGGGACTCAAACCCAGCCAAAACCTTGCTTGGGACTTGAACCCATGTGGTTGGGACTCAAATCCAGCCAAAACCCTTCTTGGGACTGCAACCCATGTGGCTGGGACACAAATCCAGCCAAAACCCTGCTTGGGACTCAAACCCAGCCAAAGCGCTGCTTGGGACTTGAACCTGGAGGAGGAAACAGACAGAGCTGGATTCCATCTTAAGCCAGGCTGCGAACATTAGGCTACCCACATCACCCTCCCAATGGACTCTGAACTTAGTGTCTATAGAAATGGCATACAATGGAAAACCAGACCCCCACCCTGGATAAAAGAGCCTCAGGACTTGTACTTGGACGCTCTGTCACCTAAA